CTCACCCCGGATGGGACATACTGTTACAAGGTGATGGCCTTTGGGTTGAAAAACTCAGGGGCGACCTACCAGAGGATGGTCAACAAATTGTTCAGGCCTTTACTTGGACGGACCATGGAGGCCTATGTCGATGATATGCTGGTGAAAAGCAGGACAGCCAACACACACGCTCAAGACCTGGAAAAATGTTTTGAGATTATGGCTAGGCATAATCTTAGACTTAATCCAAAGAAGTGTGTTTTTGCCGTAAGGACGGGGAAGTTCTTGGGCTTCATGGTTACGAAGAGGGGGATTGAGCCAAATCCTGAGAAGATCAAGGCCATTGTTGAGATGCAACCCCCAACCTCGGTAAGGGATGTCCAGAGATTGACGGGGCGCCTGGCGGCCCTAAACCGGTTCTTGTCCAGATCAGCTGAGAAGGCCTTACCTTTCTTTAAAGTCTTAAAGAAAGCCAACACCTTCCAGTGGGATGACGAATGTGCCAGGGCATTCGAAGAGCTAAAGACGTACCTGACTTCGGATATTGTCCTATCCAAGCCGGAAACGAAGGAGACTCTATACCTCTACCTAGGGGTAACTCAGATGGCCGTTAGCTCGGTCTTGATGAGGGATGATGGGGTCTAGAGGCCCATTTATTATGTAAGCAAGGCCTTAAATGGGGCAGAAAGTAGGTATACTCCCACGGAGAAGGCCGGGTATGCACTATTCATAACGGCGAAGAAACTCACCTCCTACTTTCAGGCCCATCCTATTATCGTGTTGACTGACCTACCATTGGGTACGGTCATGAGGGACTCCACCTCATCAGGAAGAATGATCAAATGGGCCATGATGTTGACTCAATTCAACATCGAATATCGCCCGAGGACAGCGATAAAAGGACAGGCCGTGGCTGATTTCCTTGTGGAGATGGCGGGTCACCAGGAAGAAGAACCGGCTAGGGCTATCACAGAGCCTTGGTGGTCCATGTCGGTAGATGGAGCCTCTGGACCGAAAGGTTACGGGGGAGGTGTAGTGTTCACAACTCCGGAAGGGTTTAAAGTATATCATGCCTTGATTTTTAATTTCAAGCTCACAAACAATGAGGCCGAGTATGAGGCGTTGATAGGGGGCCTGAGATTGGCCAAAACGCTACAAATCACATGCCTCAGGATCAAGTCCGATTCAAGCTTGGTGGTAGGCCACATCAATGGCAACATGGAGGCCAAAGGAGAGAAAATGCAGAAGTACAGAGACTTGGCAAGGGCACTATTGAAGGACCTGACTGAGTATGTGATGGAGCAAATCCCTAGGGGGGAGAACACGGATGCTGATTTGCTATCAAAATTGACGCAAGCAGCCCCGGAGCATGTGTCTAAGCTGGCCAGGATTGAGACGCTGGAAAAGGCTAGCATTGAAAGGCTTTCTGTGAGCCTGATAGAGGAGGATGGACAGCCCAATCTAACCCTGGTGGAACGTGATGATATTTGGATGGATGACTTGGTCAAGTATTACATGACCGGGCAATTCCCTGAGGATGAGGACAGGGTGAGAAAAGTAAAGTTGAGGGCTCCAAGATTCCAAATGCTAGATGGAAGGCTATACAAAAGGGCATTTGGCGGTCCGCTGCTGAGATGCTTGACCAGAGCGGAGGCGGAAAGAGTGATCGCCGAAGTTCGTGAGGGTGTCTGTGCAGCCCATCAAATGTCCAGGACACTCGCACAAAGGATCATTTTGCTAGGTTATTTCTGGCCTACAATGAACCAAGATTGTGAGAAGTATGTGCAAAGGTGCAAGACTTGCCAGGTGTTCTACAAGTTTCCAGGAAGGCCCGCGACATACTACCACCCAGTTTCCAATGTTATTCCATTCGCAAGGTTTGGGATGGACATCATTGGGGCCTTCCCTCAAGCTCAAGGGACCTTCTTCATACAGTACCAGCGATAGCTGATGAAGTGTTTTACCCACCTCCGGCTCCGTATACGTTGGTAGTGTTGGTTCGTCACGGTCGCGAAACAGACCTTCTTGTAGTAGTCTCGGTTCGGGTCACCCCGAAACATTGTGACGGATAACGGGCCTCAATTTCGGAATCCAGGGTTCACCAAATACTTGGAGGACTTTGGGATTACTCACAACAACGCTTCCGTGGCCTACCCGCAAGGGAATGGTCAGGTGGAGAATGCGAACCGCACAATAGTCGATGGGATTAAAAAGCGGTTGGGTGAGGCAGGAACAAATTGGCTAGAGGAGTTGCCACATATCATCTGGGCTTACCGAGTCACTTCGAGAAGGGCCACCGGGGAGACAACTTTCGTCCTTACTTATGGATGTGAGGCCAGACTACCCATTGAAGCAAAGATAATGACCTTCCGGGAAAAGATCTATGAGGAGAAAGGGAATGAGGAGGACCATTTGGCAGAATTGAACTTGTTGGAGGAAAGGTGGATGGTTGCTGAGGCTAAAATGATGGAATACCAGCAAGCAGCCAAGGCCTACCATGATAAAAAGGTAGGGCCTCATTATTTCCAAGTGGGTGACGAGGTCCTGAGACGAAGGGAGGCCAGCAAACCCGGAGAAGGGGGAAAACTTGCAAAGAAATGGGAAGGCCCATATAGGGTCACAGCAATATTATGCCCTGGGACATACAAGTTAGAAACAATGGAAGGTCGAGAGTTGGAAAGGTGCTGGAATTCCCACCACCTTAGAAAATTCTACCGATAGACCAAATTGGCAGGGCATGTATTTGTAATACCCCTTCGATGATAAATAAGAGATTTCTTCAATACTTGTGTCACTGGGTCAGTAATACTAAACTAATATCTTGATGTAAGAGGCAAGGTCAAAACAAAAAAAGATAAACCCTTGAGATAGGGGCCTTGATGTTGAGGTATGGCCTTGAGATAGGCTGGGTCTGGAAGAGGACTCACGTCCATACTTACATGGATCCCTACCAAATTTTCATTTGGATAGGGGCAAAAAGATGCCAAAGTAAAAAATGATTACCGTCTTGCATGAGCCATCCTTTGCGGATTGAAGGGCCTAGGGAAGACTAGAATTCACTTCAAACGCATAACATATGGACATGTAAGATTGGATGAGGGCTGGTTCTCACCGGCATACCCCCACGTGGGAAGATTGAGTTGGCTAGGTCAACCTAATGATTAGAGAATGGCACATTAAAAACTTAAAACCTGGAAGAGGGGCCCTGGAAGAAGGGTGTTGCCTGGAAGAGGGGTGAATCTTGGAGAGGGTTCGCGATCATAGGACATGGTCAAAATCTCCGAAGAAAGTTCGGGTCTTGATGTTGAGACTTGATGATACCAAAACCGATTCGGATTATTCGTTCGAAGTTTGAGCAAGGTTACTGATAGGTATGACATCCAAGCCAAAGGGGTAAAGGAAAGTGGCATGGTCAAAAGTGACCGGTCACTTCTTGGATGTTCTTGATTGGCAAGAAAAGGCGAATGGGAAAAAGCAAAATTTGACCGGTCAAATTTGAGAAAAGTGACCGGTCACTTTTTTAAGGGTTGGATTTGGAGAAATCAGACCAATCTGGAAAAGTTTAATTTTGACCGGTCATATTTTTGACCCAGCACCTGGACAGGAAATTTGACGTCATGCTGGTTACATATTGCAACCAAGCCATTAGAACCTGGAAGTTGACTGGGTCAGAAAACAAGCGGGGAAGAAACCGACCTAGACGTTTTCAAGTCAAGAAACCAGGACATTTGATGACCTGGAAGTTTTCAAGCCTTTGCGTCTAAGGTGGTCTTCAAAACTTCCAACCTAGCCTACTACACTAGGACATGAGATGACCTGGACGTTTGTTGCAGTTCAACCTAGACACAAGCCGGTCCAGAAGACTAGTCAGGCATAAAGTGATCTGAACGTTCTCAAGGCTACAAGATCTGGACGTTTTTAAGGTTGCAAGACCTAGATGTTTTCAAGGCTTGTACTTGACCAGGACATAACATGACCTGGACATTTTCAAGAGATGGAATTGACCAGAACATGAAAAGACCTGGACGCTGTCAACAAAGCCTACCAGAACTAGACATTTCTAAGGCGTTAACCAAAGACCAGGACATGAGGTGACCTGGACAACTACAAAGGATAAAGCCGGTTACTTCTTTTGACTTGGAATCAAGTATATTCAAGAAAATTGTCAACCAAGCCAGTGAGGCCTGGACATTTTCAGGACGAGGACATGAGATGGCCTGGGCGTTTTTTAAAACGATTCCTAGGGTATAAGGCCGGTTAGTCTTATTGACTTGGAAGTTCATTCAAAGGCGATCAAGAAGAAGAAAAGAAAAGCAATAACCATGCATAGAAAAGGAGTTCAACCATGCAAACTGAAAGAAGAAACAAGCCGGTAAATTGAAAAACATGCCAAACAAAAGATAATATTACACAAGTCAGAAGTAGGCCGGACATCCCCCAGGCCTTGGGAAAATTTAGTTTTTGAATTTAAACCCTAACCTACTCTAGGGGAAAGGGGGGAGCTGGCTCTTCCTTGTATAGGGGCGGGAGCTTCATCTTGGCCGGGTCAAAGGAAGGGTCCCTCTTCAGGAGTCTGGCATAAAGGAGGGACCTCTCACCCTTCTGGCCACACTGGAAGCCGTACGAGCCAATCTCGGTGATCATCCTCTTGCCTTCCGGTTCTTGATACATGGTCTTGAAAAAGTCCATGGTTTCTTCCGGTGTGGTGAGAATTGACCGGGCAATTTCCAAGTGATGGCTTGCAGCCCAGTGAGCAGCTTCAGTGGGAAAGGCTTCCTCCTTTGCCCGGGCAGATTCTTCAGCCTGGCCCAGCGCATCCTCGAGCTCGGCAACCTTCCTCTTCCTTTCCTCCTCCAAAAGGGCAAACCGGGCCCTTTCTTCCTTCAACTCTTCCTCAAGTCTCCTCTCCCTTTCTGCCCAGTTATTGATCTCTAACTTAGCAGAATCAAGGAGGAGGGTGAGTTGGGAGACCTGGTCCTTCTCCTTTAATGTTTGGCCAATCTCCTCTGAAATGACCCCGGCCTGTAAAAATAAAAAATAAAAAGAGAGGAGGCATATCAGTAAAAGTGAAGGAAAAACGTGAACCGGGAAGAAAAGTGGAGATGAAATACCTTGCTGAGTTTTTTGGCCAGGGATAGGAAGGCTTCTTCGATGGTTTCCCCCTCACTGTCTGATAAGCTAGCCTCCCCTGGAACTCTTATGAGAGCTCTTCCTTTTTTGGTCCTTGGATTTTGAAGAGGAAGATGCACCGACCTCTTTAGCACCTGATTGGACCGGGACTTTGGGGGGATTAGCCCGGTCAACCTCAGAATGATGCCTGGCTGAAGGAGATTTCAGCTTCTCGCTCTGCTCATGGATAGGGCTACACCGGGCACTTGTGGCCCCATCCATTCCAGGGAAATGAGGAGGAGAAGGAGAGTTAGAGAGAGGAGACCGGTTGGAGTGGAGGACTTGGACATCATCGTCGTCATCTTCAATGATGGTGGTCATCCTGTTGAAGTTCATGTCTGCCAAAAATAACAAAGTAACCGGTTAGATTTTAAACCTTATCAAAATGAATGTGGAATCAAAAGGTTGAGGAAAATTAACCAACCTGGATGAGGAGAGCCAGCCTCAGCGTGACCATCCCGGGAATCAGCCCGGTTATCCTCAGCGTCATGGGTCGCAGACGCACCCCCATCCGGGTTAGGTAACCGGTATACCCATCCACCATAGGCGTATGGCTTACCGGTCACAGGATCACCCTTGAGAAGTTTCTCGCAGGCTTCCTCTAGCTCTTTGGTGGGCTCCGGGTGAACCCTTTCAGGTTTTATAACCCGGGCAGCCCACTCACGGTTGGAGAGTGGAAATTGGTCAGGGGGGAACTCAACGAAAACAAATCTTTGCTTCCATTTCTTGTGGCTAGGGGGAAGACCGGTCAAAAAACCCCTAGAATTGGCACGGGAATGGAAGTAAACAAAGCCCGGGCAATTAATAGTCCCGGGCAAGACATCATACATATGAAGGAAGAGGTCCAAAGAAGGGGTGATTTTTAGAGATTCACAAATATTTACAAAACAATTCAAGAACCGGTGAGCATTTGGAGTAAGCTGGCCGGGCAAAATCTTGAACTTGTCACAGATTTCTACGAGGAGGGGGCGAAGGGGAAAGATAATGCCCCCCTCTAGCGAAGC